TTTTTCTTTGTTCCCTCCATCAGTCTATAGGTGTCCACGACGCGGTAAGCCACGTGCTTTCTACAAAGCGGAGTTGGTGCATATGTAGAATATCATTCAATTTGTTAAGATTAAAACTGCAAGTTATTTTTACTTTAACGGTATAATGATCACGATACAGAATTTATCGAACGAAATTATATTAAGTATTCTCGAAAACGAAACCATTAGTTTGAGCGACGTTAAGAATTTTAGTTCCACGTGCAAGAAATTTCAGTGGATATCTCGCTATGAAACTCTCTGGAAGAAAAAATATGCTCAGAGGTAAGTTTCTTTATGTATGAACTTTTTTGTTATTTTACTTGATGGACACATTATATAAAAAGGAATTTAGCAAAAACCTGGCGAAAAATATATTTAAATAACTTTACGCAAAATACTGCCTTTTTGAAGAATTAAATAATAATATTCTGACATTTAAAATATATCTAACTGAATTTATATATATATATAAGATATTTTAAAATTTATTTATACTTAACTTTTTTAAATTCGCAAAATTTTTGCAGATATTGTGTCGTTTTAAGACATGACTTGATTAGACTTTCTGAATAAAATTGTGCAAATTAAAAAAATTGCAACCGAAAGTTATAAAAAAGAAAGTTTGTTCAGCTTTAAAAGATTTATGAAAGATTTTAACTTTTATAAGAAACAATTTCTGAAGAAATAATTTTTTGGTATATAAGAATAATTTTAAGAATAGATTTTTGTTATAAGAATAATTTTTTGTTATATTATCGATATTTACACGTGCAATTGTAAGAATTATAATATAACTGTTAATAAGGTAATTTTTCGTATAACAATATAATTCAGAAACAAACTCGAAAACTTGAAAAATAATTATTTTATACAAAAGAGTATACATTTTAATTATAACTCCATCAGTAGAGAAATTTCTAAGATCGCACCTAGGGTTTTACACATGCGAAAAAGCTTCTCTGTTAATTAATAATAATTTATATGACACAGATACACACACACACACACACACACACACACACACACACACACACATATATATATATATATATATATCTGTGCACATATTATATCGCTCTATGATGCTGTAATAAAATAGAAAACAAATTTTCTTATTATTTAACATTTCATTACAACATCGTTATTAAACATAAAATATCAGTTTGTCGCAATAAAAAACTGTAAAACAAATCAAAAATATATAGTATGCGTAAATATGTATGTATTTTAAAATAGTATTTTACGCAAACGTTTTGCGTTTTTACATTTTAGAATTTCCGGAATCTAAGAATCATTGAGCATCATCAGTTTCTTCTATTTGATTCGAATATATAATATAAGATAATGAGTTTAATTTTTTTTAGTATTTTTGAAAATTTTTAAAAGTATTTTAAAAGTGTTTGTAATTTTAGATATCCCACTGTACAGCTGATGTGTAAAGACAAAATGGGCATTGAATTTAATGACTTAAATATTGAAGATTTTAGAGAGGGTATGAAATGTGCGGAAAACTTGTGGCTTTATGTGCCTCGTATGTCTCAGATGTATTATTATCGTAATCTAAAGAAAGACTATATTAATATACAATCTCTCGATCTGCATGCAGAAAAGCACCCTTTAAATTTGTGATTTTACATGATGAACTTATTAGAATTTTATATCATCAAGATCCACGGTATGTGACTAAATGTATTTTAAAATATCATTAAAAATCATTGGTATATTTAATTGATTATTCTGTATTTATTTTATAATATGTACATTTTTCAGCCAATGCAATTTAACAGAACGATACTACAGCAAAATGATATTTCACTGTTTGAATAGAAACATTTTTGATTTTTCAATGGAAAATATTTATAAAAAGATTAATCATACGCTGAGTTTGAAGGATTTAATGTCGTATTATTACAATATAGTCATCCCAATAAGAATATTACTATGTTGTATATAGATAAATTCATAGACAATATCGTGCAAGACGTATTAAAGTTCTTGAAAGATAAATATTGTCGGCATCCATTATTGTCCATATCATCTGAACAATTATCGATTTGGAGAACTAATTGTATTAATAAGAATTTTTGGTGCGTAAAAGACGCAAAAATCGATAAAGGATGCACTCGACATAATTATCTAAGTTTTGATTCTTATAAACCATGGATGAAATTAAATCAAATAAGTATGAATCCTATTTTCACAATGTCGGTATGTTAAGTTTTTTATGTATGTTTTTATTATCTATTATGAATATATATATATATATATATTTTTTTTTTTTTTAATTTATCTTAAATATAATAATAATTCTCTATTATAATTATTTTTATTATACTTTCACACTTATTATTCTTCGACAGACTAAAGAAGACACATTACATTATAAACAAACGTTGTGGTTGGCAATATATATCTGCGTTGCAAACAGTTTGGGTTTACATGTTGTGACAAAAAAACACGGTATAGACAATAATTATGCTCTAAATATACATTTGGTTTGGCAATCTGGGTAAATATATAATTTTATCTTTGAAATTATTTATTTTGTCGAGTATTTGTACTATACGCACAAATAGTTATACGGCAATACTCACATGTGTATATATTAATTTATTATTATATGTATTAATTATTATATTTTGTAATTTAAAAAAATTTACGGGTGCCGACTTGTGTAATATTGCAACAAATTAACCAGTTAAGAAGAACCCTAAACAATTATATATTTTGCAAATGTGTTACAAACAACCACAATATATAGATATTCACATCATAGGAAGCAACCAATATAAATAAGCATTTCTTACAGACTTTAAACAATCAATGTATACATAAATAACATTTAATGTTTGTAACAAACTTTAGCGTCATTTCGAACAACATAATTTTTGACCATTTATTTATTTCTGTTAATAATCTAATTTTCATATGATAGCGACTGAAGAGACAACAGTAAATGTTGAAATGTTCTGTATTTAAAGATTGTAATTTTCTGAAATAATTAAAGTTGTTTCTATTTAACATCTATTTCACACTCATCAAAGGGCTTATACATAATTCACTCTGTTGTTTTTATTTAAAATACGAGCGCTAAAATTTAATAACATTAACGATATTTGTTAAATATCATTATTTTTTGGTTGTTTGTGACACAAATAAAAGAATGTTTGTCCATAATTTTTGTTTCAAATATTTTATGTATTGCATTATAATATAAGTTGATGTTAAAAAAATAATATTACATATATTAAAAAAAAAATCTTCGTTTTTGCATAAAGTTAAAACTTATAATTATCATTAAAAGTTATAATTATTTTTATGTATCTTAAATTATGCAATTAAACTATTCCAAAAATATTAATATAATGTTTAATAATACATAAGAAAATAGCTTTTCTCTAAAACCACAATTTTATACTTTATATGTAAGCTTATATATTTTATGGATTATTTTTTTCATTGATATGTTTATTTCAATACATATTTTTATGCGCAAAATAATTTAAAATTGAGAAGTCGACAATAGAATTATACAATCTTATAAAATTTTTAATTAATTTCTTTTTTTACAAAACTGCATCAGTAATTATTATCTTAATCCATGTTTAAAGCTAAGATTTGATTTTATATGCAGCATGTATCAATAGTCTTGCACTAGTTAAACGTTTCGAAAATAAATTATTTTATACAACTATTCACACTAAAGTTATAGGATTTAATAAGGTTTATTAATTAGCTTTATAAATTTTCTCTACTTTTTAATATAAAATTTAAATGTGTTATAGATTTTTAAAAAATTCATAAATTTAATTTGTACAATTGAAAATAAGATTCTTTTGTACTTTCAACAAAATTTATATTATGAACAGGACAAATAATTTTTTTATTGAATCAAAATAACATGACATTTCGACCTGTGGTTTAGGTTATTTACAAATGAAGTAATAATTGAGATGATCATAACAAGTACAGCGATGAGAAAAAATTTATAACATGTCACAAATATAAAAATATAAAAATATAAAAATATATAAAATTAAACGTTGTGTCTAAAAAGACGTCCCGTATTTACTTTAATAGAATTTTAATTTAAGGCTTAGTTACAAAGATACATAATCTCAAAAATTTGGAATATTAAAAACATTATGACCTTTCTCGACATTTTCGCTGAGGAAAAATCGTCTCCAAATTGCCAGAGAAATCTCCCATTAACGTACGAAACGCGAGTCATCAGACACCCGGTATATTTGGTGGATTATTTTTTTCATTGATATGTTTATTTTAATAGATACTTTTATGTGCAGAATGATTTAAAATTGAGAAGTCGACAAGAGATTGGACAATCTTATTTATACAATTTTAAATTAAATTAAATGAAGTTAAAACTTATAAATATCTTCAAAAGTTATAATTATTTTTGTTATGCATCTTAAATTATACATTTAAACTATTCCAAAAAATAAATAATAAAATATAATATTAATATAATATTTAATTATACAAAGTAATATAGCTTTTTTCTAAAAAATTTATCATTGAATGAATATTATTTTTAAACATCTATATTACGCACTGATGTACATGTACATGTTATTTCTTTATTGTTTATACAGAGAGTGTACAGAAAATAGAGAATGTTTCACGTTTGAATGGATAGATAATACAGATAATGCAAAGATTTCTAACATAAAAAATGCCAAGTGCCGCCTCGCTTTATTTCTTTATTTTCTGACAGAAACTACATTTGGTAAGTAATTATTTATATAAAATATTGGTAGTTTTGGACTTTCACTTTGTAAAGTTTATAACTCCAAACAGGGCGGACGTTTAATTCAGCGATGTTTGATATAAAATACATAATCAGCGATGTTTTCTCTGTAAAATATTTTAAGAACATTGAAATCAATAAGCTTAATTCTAATAAATTAAAAGGAGCATATAATATATAACATTAATTTTAGATTATAAAGTTTCGAAAATATATCTAAATGTATTTTTTCTTACACACATTTATAATTTGAATTTAATCATTACATATGATATCATAAGTGATTTTGATTCAAAATTTAATAACAATTTTTTTTAAAGCTTGGGCCGCCAAGATCGGTTGAAGACAGTACCATTCAGGATATAAATGTTTTGTGGAAACGTGCCTGCTTTCCCTTTGACGATTTTTGTTATACAGCAGCATCAATAAATTATTATGATGAGGTAAGACAATTGAATTCACTCATTGTACATATTATAAATTAAAGATATGTAACAAAGTAACATTCATAATAATTATACGTTTAAAAATCTAATTATAATTATTTTTAATTCAAATTATTACATTAATATAAATTACATAATATATATAAAAGCGTCAACTATACTAATTTTTCAGAAAATATGTACTCCAGATGAAATGTTTCGGAAAAAAAGATCGCCTAATCTAAAATATGCGATTGGATTGATAGTTATACATAAGCATAAAATGAAAGATATTACACGAAAGTGTATTGAGAATGTTGCTGGGGTCATTATTGGGTGGCACAACGAATGCCACATTGAACGCTTTAAGGATGATAGTACATATTGTAGTATTTCGAATGATGTTACAGAAAAATGTATACAGAAAAATAACATCGATAATTGGAAATCGCAACCGCACTACGTTTTGTTAATCGAGAATGATCTGTGTTACGTTCCACAATGTATGTGTATTATATGTAATACTTCATTATACTTTATATACTGTATATTCTGTGATATTTTTGTTTATATTATTTATGTTACATAATACATTTGATACTATATTTTTTATTTTTACGTTTTTATATTTTAGGTGCTATAACATCAGTATGCAAAGAATGGATAAATAATCCAGAAGTTGGAAAATATTTCTGTAAATTTGAAGATACTCATTATGTGCCAAATAACATGCTAGGACAGCATTATCCAGACGATGCCGCAGTCGTTCGCGACATATTATTGAATAATCGAAAATTATAATATTGTGAATGATGCAGAAGTGTGTGTGTCTGCTCTTTTATTAGTCCGGATTGAAATTCAAAAGATATATTGCATATAGATGCTATTTTTCGGAAAACAATAACAAATCATAGTAAATATCTTGCACAAGAGAGAAAATCCTGCTAACATAGCTCGCATAAGAAGTTCAGGTAGAGAGATTTATTATCTGAGAAAAGGTTCGGATCAAAAATAGAGAATACGTTAAATTATTTTACTTAAAAAAATATGTATTAGTAATATTAAAATTGTTTATAATCATGCACGCACGCACGCACACACACACACACACACACACACACACACACACACACACACACACACACACACTCATGTTACAATTAATTTTTCTTTTTATAAGAATAACGAGAATTTATGTAAGGAGTAAATTCATATAACAGTATTAGGGTTTTAGTTTTTATATAAATAACATAATAAATTATATACAAGATAAGCCATTTATCTCTTCCTTTTAAATAAAAAAAGCGTCGGTTTTGATAGAAATATATTTAGAATTTTTTGCAGAATATAGAAACAATTTTAAAATAATATTGAGAAAAAAATTAATAAAGTTGTAATAGAAAGAACTTAACATACGCAGCAGGCAAAAATTGCTATTATTTTATGTCGTAGATAATTCATACTCTATAGTGTATTGCAAACACATTTTTTCCCCACAATCAAGAAACGTAGGTCAAAATCCCAGGATAGAGTCCAAGAAAATTAGTTGTGAAAACTTCTAAATAATAAATAAATTGCAGTTTTGCATTTTTAAATTATCTACTCTAAGAAACTCTACAAAATAGTAAATATTGAAAATTAAAATGAGAATGTACTTACAAAATAAATTAAAATGAAACAAAAATATGTTTTATTAATATTGATATTTAATACTATTGAAGCGAATAGTAAGACGAAACGCAGATTCGAGTCTCACACTGATATCCCTATCATTCAAATGCCGACACTGAAAAATAAGGTTAAATAATAAATAATTAAATAATTATTTAATAATCATAAATAACAGATGGCAATCATTTATGAATTGCTTTATTCAAATTCTTATTCCAAACATGCATTGTATTTATTATGTGTATTAATCTTAAAATTCTCCAAATTCTTTTTTTATTAATTTTTTACTTATTTATTTCAATTAATCAAAATTTTCAATTAATCAAATATTTCTATTATTATTCTATTAATTGTTATAATTGATGAATACTTTTACTTAATTTTTCAATTAATTATTTTAATTTATCAATATTCAAAATTGATTACTCTAATTAATAATTTTTCAATTAATTATTATACCAATTAATTTTTTAACTAATTTAATTAATTAAAATTTAAAAAGTCAAAATATAAAAATATTTCAATAAGAAAGATTTCTGAATGTTATTAAATCTTCTTTAAAAGAAATCTATTCACTAATATGATGTGACAAAGCGTTAAATTTTAACATTCTTAAAGAATATTTTTCTCTTTTATTAATGTCATTCATTTTTTAGACTGGGAAATTTTCGTTACATATAATTTTTAAACTTGTTATTTTACACGCAGACTACAAATTTTGACAATTTTCCATTATAGAATCCATTATGTAACGCAAAAATATGCGTCAAGAATATTTACCGTTGAATTTATTTTATGAAGGCCATTATTTATCAACACTAATTTGTTGATATTCGTTAAACAAAGAATCTCTTCTAGGTGCTCCTCAATTTCACCTTTAAGCATTAAATATGTTATGAAAAGTCAGTCATATATGCAAGATGGACTGAAGACAAAATTTCTTTTTGGATTGATTTTCATAATTTCTTGCATATATTTGATCGCAAATTGGAAACGTTCCTCGTTTAGTGTAATATCTAATGAATAAAAAGACGTTAGTTTGCTACCTGGGTTTGAGCGTTTAAATAATTATAAAGATTTCTTTACATAATATATATTCAGCTTAATTATATTTATACAAAAGTGTTATTATACAATATTGTATTCAAATCAGGTATTTCACAATACAGGTTTAGTTTGCGATAAATAATTTTTCTATTTTATAATATATAAATAATTTGGAAATTTAATTTGAATTATAAAATAATGAATAATATTTTTTAATTTAAATATTCTTATAGTAACAATGCTGTAATCATCTTATATTTCAAATATTATTTTGATAACGTGTAATCTGCATCAATAATTTATTTTAGGAAGTTCAATAAGAGATGTGATATATAATTATGAAGAGAGAGAATATTTTAATAGCCACATCAAGTGCACCGGTAGCATAAATATTATTAAGTACATGAGTCAAATTTAAAACACTTATTTCCATCCAAACTTTAAATAAATATCTATATAAATGTATCGTATAAATTCGACGTGAAAAGAGACAAATTAATCAAATTTTCGACATAGGCAAAACTTAATCAAAAGTGATACGTGAACTTGATTGTTCGGAAAATAATGAACAAAATTAATTTGTTGTCAGTTGCTAAAATTAATCTAATTTTTTATCATTTATCATTAGATAAGCGTTAAATTTGTAAATTAATATTATGTACTGATTAATTTTTATACATTGTTGCCGAAATTTTTCTTTTTTTTAAATTCATTATTATATAATAAAATAATTTCAATTCTAACATTAATAGTAATATGTATATATATTTATAATTTTATTTTTAATATGTCAAAAAATTTTTTTATATTTCTAAATTACAAATATGTAAACGCAATATAATTTATTAAAATAATAATCCAAAAATAATAATGTCCAAAAATAATAATCAATCATTATTTTCCGAACAATGTAATATAAACAAAAAATAAACTCACATTGCGTCGAGTCGATTATCTAAACCTCTCTGCTTTAATATATATCCCCTTTAATATTTCGCTGCTGTTCTGCTATATATAATCTTATATAGTTTGGCGTGTAAATTTATTATATACACTATTTTTTGAGAAAGGAAAATGATAAAAATGTTTTTTTCAATGCTTGCAATGTTTTAATCATATTTTACACAAATGCATATATACACATTTACACTTATCTATATACCTGTGTCATTTTCGTTAAAATGATGCTTATGTTGCGTTACAATAAATGTTAGTAAAGCTTTTATTTTTGAAATACATGTACTCTCGGTTCAAACGTGTCATATTCTAAATAAAAGAATTTATATTATTATATGTGCATTATTATTATTAAAAATTTCTCTTTACATTATTATTAAAGATTTCTTTTTCGACAAAGGAAAATGATATATGTTTTTCGTAATATTTATACAATATTTCGCTTATGACAAATTCACATATCAATACTTCTGTCATTTTCGTAAAAAGATTATGCTGTATTACAGTAAATTTTATTAATGTTTTTTTTAACTCGATCTCGATTCGGATTATCATCATAAGTAGGAAATGTATATGAATTTCTTGATTAGAGTAAAAAGTAAATCCATATCGACTGGTACTATATGTGTCAGAGTGTGATAAAAATACATATGCATACATTTTAATGTATGTATATGTACACATACATATACACACACACAAACAAGCGTACTCACACACAATATATTATTCCAATATTTTTGGAGTAAATTGTACCAAGCGTGTAAGCATAGAAATGATGTATGGAATCTTTTCTTTCACAATCACACAAGGCTTTAATACTGTGCTGAATTTAATGAATTTTGTAACATACTCGCATACAAATGTCAACAAAGTTAACAAATCGCAACGATTTCTATTTACGGATAATTGATAGCACAAGCCTTCTATAAAATATGTGTGGCGTGTAGTGATCCAAGAAGGGCAATCTGTTTGAAAATTGATCATGAATCACGAGGTATTTAAGACTGAGATAAATAATGAACACAATTATATTAATTATGATTTCAAATTAGACATATAAACTGTGTGATAAAGGGAAAATAAAATGATAAAAAGATGTAAATAATATTTTGTAGCAATCTAATATTCGATAGATAATAGTATCTACAATACCTATGACAAATGTGTAGACAAACAAAAAGTCAACTTCAATACGAAATGTGTTTGAGAATCCGCTTGAAATCAGTTCTAAGGGATAAAACATTTCGTTATGTTTACCAAGTTGGCAAATTTGAATGAAAAATAGTTTAGGTTTTCCGGCTAGAGTTGGACATTTATCGGCAGTAAAGTGATTATAGAAAGGTTCTACTTTACAAGAATTATAATAAGTGTTGCGCGAACAGAGATATTCGCATGTGCCATAGTATAACATGACTGTCATCAAACAATCATTTTCAGAATGATCCTCGTTCGCAACTGCAAAAACAATAATTTATTATTATTTTATAAGACATATATATTTATAAGATATAATAAAATATGTCTTTTATTTTAGAGTTTAATAATTTTATTTTAATATTTCTTAGAAGATATAAGAATTTTTTAAAAAACAAATAATGTAAATAAAGATGGAAATCAAGTACGACTCACCTGCTTCTAATATTTTTATTATGTCCTCATCATTACAATTATAACTCCGTACATCAAATTCGAGCTGTCTTAGTGTATTACGAAGCTTTATGTAATCCAGATTTTTTGTCAAACCGTAATAATTAAAATAACGTGTAACAACGCTATCTTCAATAACAAAGATTAAAGCTATACCACGTTTAGAATGACTCATATTATAATATGCCGAGTAATTTATGGTTGGCAATAATTGTAATGTTGCGGCATTAGAAGTCATATCATTCCTGAAAAAATAATTGTAATGTATATTGTTCGAAATATTTTAGACTGGATTTTTTTGGATTAATTAAAAATAATATAATTTATGTAGAATTATATTTTAAATTCCCATGCCCACATGTAATAATACCTAAATTTTTGTAATATATTTTATATTTTATCGATAAATATATAAAATTATTAAGAATATTACATCAATTTAAAATTTTGTATATCATTTATATAATTGTCGCATATATTCTTAAATTCATATTATTTCAAAAGATTTCCTAATCTCAAAGTTTATGATATAATTAACTTTTTTTCGATCTCAAATATAAATTTTTTACAAACATATTGCCTTTATGAAATACTCAAATATATATTGATATATGATTACTTGCTTGTTTAATTTTAAAATGTTTAAAATGAAAATTTTTAGTAAAATTCATATTTCAACATGGATTTTTATAAGTTTTTATAAAATTATGTATATAATTTATACTGTGAAAATATTTTGAAGTACTAAATAATATAACTAAAATCATGTTTTAAGATATCTGTAAGCATATAAAACTAATATAGATGAGCTAAATAGAATGCATTCTAATTTGTTCAATGCAACTGAATTACAACTTTAAAAATATTCGATATTTTAATGATAATTATTTTATGTCAATATTGGCTATATTATATCTTATCATTGTATTATATTAATCTCTACTTTAACCATATATAAATTTTCCATTGTTACAATTTCGATACTAATTTTATTGTATCGCGTTAAATAATTATATTTCGCGTCATATCAAAAACATCTAACATGTTTAATAACATGTTTAAAAATATTGTAAAATTTTAGAAAAAAATCTGTAAATATATACACAGAAACATATTTACTGGCAATGTACGCTAGTAACAGTAATATATATAGTTTATACTAATAAAAAATAAAATAATATATTGCGGTTGACACAAATTTCCATCTTGATACCTGCTGGGTCCTGGTAATGCGCTGACACCTTCGATATTGTTTTCTTGGTCATTATTGGTGTCGTTTTCGCACTTCCTGAAATTCATAGCGTCGCCTCTCGTGTTCGAATTTGATCGGGGAAGATAGCTTCGTCGCCTTTTTGTAGTCGTTGTTCAGGTGTCAAACAGATTCGGAGTTTTGGAGATAATTTGACGCAAGTAGGAGCACTCTTCCTTTTGTCTTGACTTTACTGGCACCAGATAGGAACTGAATTCACTCAGCAATCAAACATAGAAGAACACGTCTGTAGAAGAAAAACATGTAATAATTAATATATATGTATATATATGTATATGAACTCTGTGTGACTCAGGTTGTTGTTACTTTAAATATTTATATATCCAAAAACAAGATGAAAATAAGGCTTTGATACTTATATAAATATAATAAATTTATATAAGAGATGAACTAATAATATAAGTCATATGATCTTGGCTTACAAAACATATCAGTGGCAGTATAAATAATAAATACACGGTTTATGATAAATATATAAATAGATCATATAGACAAGTAAAGATGGTCTAAAAGAAGATAATAATAACGTTCAAATTAAATGAGGAATTTTTCTTTACATGTACATAATATATCCTTTAAAAGAATAAAAAGCTAGAAATAGAAGCTGAAAATTTTCCTTCCCTTAATTATTGTTACATAAATATGATTTCTATTAATAAAGTATCAAATTCAAGTGGAAAAAAATCACATTCTTGTTAAACGTTTCTGCATTTATTGTAAAAGAGTTTAATATTAATATAAAAATGACTAATTACAAAATGTTATTCACTCATTTCTAGAAATTCAAATTGTAGATACCAATAATAATTTTTTTTCATAATATATTATTTAAACAAATAAAATATATTAAATTTTTTTTATAAAAATAATGAAAATATAGTGAAAAAATTCTTAAAATATAAAAAAATGTAAATAAAACAATTGATAACGCGAATGTAATTAAACAAATCATTGACTATATATACTTATATACCCAGATAGCCACAGTAATTATTATGACATCAAAATGATGCATTTTGACATCAAAATATACATATAAATATATATATATATATATATATAAAGTTACTAATAAATAAAAATTTATTTTAGGCTCGTGTAATGCAACGCAAATACTAAACAAAATACATACCTATATATATATATATATAATGACCAAAGATGAGCAAATCAAGGATGTCTGTAATTTTATAAAGTTGTAAAATAAAAAATAAAAAATAAAATAAAAAATAATACTCAAATAATTCATTCCTCTCTGATCCTCCTTCGATCTCTTGCGTTTAATATTTAAATTTCTCGCATTCGAATAATCGATAAAATAATAATTTGTCGGAACACCATGTGCATGTGCATCTCATTGTCAGCGTAGATCGTGAGACAAATCCTTCAATCCTTCGCGCATGCGTCACTAATGTCATCGGTCATCTGTCACGTGACCGATTCCGCAGGATCGTGCTTAGGTGCTTTCGGACCCCGCAGAACTTTTCATTTATTTATTCATCAATATTATTATTTATAATTATAAATTTTTATAAAAATTTATTTATTAATTATAAATATTTATAAGTATAAATTAATAAGTGTAAATTATAAATATTTATAAATATATAAATTAAAAGTGTTTATAAATAATTAATAAATAAAAAATAATTAAATAATAATAATAATAATAATAATAAATAAATAATAGTAAACAACAACAACAATAATAATAAAATAATTTATAAATTAATTTATTAATAATTTATAAATAATTTATTAATTTATAAAAATAAAATTTATTAATTTATAATTAATTTATAAATTAATAATTTATTAATTTATAATTAATTTATAAATTAATAATTTATAAATTACCCACTGGTGACGCCCGAGCGAGTGCGCATGCGCGTTCAGATAATTTGCGTACGCGAGTGCCGAAACGTGGAGAGTTAGCTGTGCTGTTTCTCGCCTCTTGTCCGAATATATTCTCAGCTTGGCGATACCTCAGCTTGGTGAGTAAACTCGTTCGACCACATCCTCCGGTAATTCCACACTCCCTTCCGTATATTCTGCAAGGAACGCATCAGTTATATGCGCGACGATAAGGTAACGTACATCGCGCCTTTTGGAGGAGATGCTGTTCGATTTTCCCCAGCGAATAATCGAATAGCGACGGGAACTCGAGCCTTCCTCTTGCGTGGCAGACGATTTCATAATCGTTCACGCTCTCCTTATTTAAGACGCCAAACTTTACGAGACACGTTGTGTCGCAAAGTACCAGTACTTGGCTTTAGTTAGGTGTGCATAACCTCAGGGTCTCTAATAATTTTGTATTTATTTATTAATTTACTAAGCTTTGATAAAACTCGATAATGTGAAAATTATTTTTATTAATGAGTTTTATTTATTTATATATTTATTTACTTATATATATATATATATATATATATTTTACATATCCCAGGTAACAAGTTGACGTAAGAATGATGTCATCGATGTCAAAAAGACGTCATTTTGACGTTTATGACGTCAGTTTGTTACCTGGGATATTATATATTTACATATATATTTATATATATATATATATATTAATATATTATTTTTTTTATATATTTATTTATTAATCTCTTTATATTTCTTTCTCAGTTGTCTGTTTGACGTTCCACAAACCATGGCAGACTCGGATGATGAATACGATAGGAAGAGGCGTGATAAGTTCAGGGGTGAAAGAACGGAGTCGTATTCACGAGAACGCAGAGATGATCGCAGACGTGACGATTGGGTTGATAGGTACATCAAATTTCTATAATACACCTTCCATCTTACGCATCTTACGATCAATAAGATTCCTGTTTCCTCCTTTCCTTTTGTCATCGATACATTTATTTCCCTTAGTTTACTGAATAATATTTCCATTAATACACCTTCGATCTTATGCATGATCAATAAGATTCCTGTTTCCTCCTTTCCTTTTGTCATCGATACATTTATTTCCCTCAGTTTACTGAATAATATTTCCATTAATACACCTTTCATCTTACGTATGATCACTAAGATTCCTGTTTCCTTCTTTCGTCATTGCTACTGATTTATTTTCCTCAGTTTACTAAATATTTCCATTAATACATCTTCCATCTTACGCATGATTAATAAGATTCCTGTTTTGCTCCTTTCCTTTTGTCATCGCTACATTTATTTTCCTCAGTTTACTAAATATTTCCATTAATACATCTTCCATCTTACACATGATCAATAAGATTCCTGTTTTGCTCCTTTCCTTTTGTCATCGCTACATTTATTTTCCTCAGTTTACTGAATATTTCCATTAATACACCTTCCATCTTACGCATGATCACTAAGATTCCTGTTTCCTTCTTTCGTCATCGCTACATTTATTTTCCTCAGTTTACTAAATATTTCCATTAATACATCTTCCATCTTACGCATGATCAATAAGATTCCTGTTTGCTCCTTTCCTTTTGTCATCGCTACATTTATTTCCCTCAGTTTACTGAATAATATTTCCATTAATACATTTTCCATGATTAATAAGATTCCTGTTTCCTCCTTTTCTTTTGTCATCGATACTCAATTTACTGTATAATACAATATAAAATAATACAATAATAATGCAATATAATAAAATATTTCCATTATCTCCCTTTTGTACCAGAGAGTGGTCGAGTCGACCTAGACAACGTCCGGACTACAGGGAATATCGAGGTGGAGGAGGTGGAGGACGCGATCGTTACAGTCCAGCTAGGTCTCAGGACATGCAACCACCCTTGAAGAGGATGCGATTCGAATGGGACGACAGACCAAGATACGGTCACGATTATTATGGTGGTGGCAGCGGCAGTGGAGGTGGGGGCGGCGGCGTCGGGGCCGCGGGTGGAACGTCCTGGAGTCCGGATCACTATCCTCCTCCGCACCATGGCAACCATCACTATGGAAATCACAGCAACAGCGGCAGGTTCGTTTGTTATTTTTCAAGCGTGTCTCTCCTCTTTCGAGCTGTGCTGGATCACGATAAATAGTGAATGATGAGGAGGGCGGGATTTATGAGGATTCCGCCGAAGCGGAGTCGCCTGACTCCAAAATTATTAGCCAAATTGAGGTAGCGTTTATATTCTTAGGAGATAAGCTCGTTGAAACAAAAATATGCAGTTATTTTTTTCCTTAATAAGTCGCAATTGTTTCATTTAAATGGAGAGGAAATATAAATGTTACTTAATCATAAAAAATGTATTAAACACAAAATGTTATTTTAATTAATTAATTCAATTTATTAATTGTGTAATGATACTGTTTACGAGATATCTTGTATTTTATTGTTTATTAATTACTAACACTTAAAAGAAATACATTTAAACGAAATATTTAATAGTTACTATTATTTAATTATTTAATATTATAAGTTACTATTATTTAATTATTTAAGAAATATTTAATAGTTACTATTATTTAATTATTAGAATTTTTTTAGCAAATTGCATCTATAATATTGCTTTTTCTTCAGTCGAGAAGTAACTAGAAATTTTAGTATTGTTTATTAATTATACTAACACTTAAAAATTATTTAACAGTTACTATTATTTAATTATTTAAATTATCGGAATTTTTTTTAGCAAATTGCATCTATTTTTTTTCAGTCGAGAAGTAGCTAGAAATTTTAGTATTGTTTATTAATTATACTCTAACACTTAAAAATTATTTAACAGTTACTGTTATTTAATTATTTAAATTACCGGAATTTTTTTAGCAAATTGCATCTATATGTTTTTTTCAGTCGAGAAATAGCTAGAAATTTCAGTATTCTTTATTAATTACTAACACTTAAAAAAATATTTAAAAGTTACTATTATTTAATTACTTAAAATATTGGAATTTTCTAGCAAATTGCATCTATAATGTTTTTTTTTTTCAGTCGGGAAGTAGCTGGAAATTTCAGTAACTCGAATGTTGAAACTCAGCCACCTATGATGTCGTTCAAAGCGTTCCTCGGTACTCAGGAAGATACTATTACTGACGAGGAGGCTATTAAACGCTACAACGAGTACAAATTGGAATTCAGGAGACAGCAACTCAATGAATTCTTTGTCGCCCATAAGGACGAGGAATGGTATATATTAATTTTTCATTTCTTCCTTTTCACACTCGCGGGGTTGCATCGTCTTTTATAGAGGATTGAACAATTTGATCGCGACATTATTTCTTTCATGGAGGATGAAACGGAATTGATTAATTTTTTCTACAGTGGCTGAAAATATTCTTACCGAATTTATCAAGCTAAATAGTCATTAGCTGACAACGTCATTGATAATTTTGTGCAAAAATTTAAAAAAAAATATGATTACATTTTTCAAATAACGCAGAATTTTGTCCACGCATGTACATATATATATACAGGGTGTCCCAAAAGTCTCGCGACAATCAAATATCTCAAAAACAAAGGATTTTTTTTTTTTTTTTTTTTTGGAGAAAAATATTAAACAGCCCAAGTAGCAAGCTGATATTATTAAACGTCAAAATGACGTCATTAAACGGCAAAATGACGTCATTTTGATGTCGAATGACATTATTTTGACGTTTAATGACGTCAGCTTGCTACCTGAAGCTACAACTTTGAAAAAGCCTTTGTTCTCGAGATACTTGGCTGGACTTTCGGGACGCTTTGTACATATCGCATGCCTGACGGTGGTAGATAATTTAAAGATATAATCTTGGATGAAATTCCAGACACTGATAATTTGTATACTGTGTAGCTAATGTCAATATGACCAGCTCTGTCTATCCCTACAGCATACTCGCCGCCATCGCCTTATACCTTGGGTCATCTCGCTCGATTATTTTCTCGTACGATATTTATACATGAATATTCGCGTTTCGCGCATCGCTGAAGACACGAGGTGTGCCTGATTGCTTAGGCTTAGCTAAATAAATTGCGAGCTGGGCGCGCAAAGCCCAAAGAAACACGCTCGCACTTAGGCCGCGTTCTAAACCCGTTCTACTATTATTTGTCACGCTCACGTGACGCTATATACGTCTTTATCTATAAAAGACGAGTCTCTGAATCGACGAGAAAAACCGAGTAGAAATGTGAGCTGCAGGTGAGGCCTCATTCTGTAATCGAACAAGTGCATGGTATGATTTACCGACCATGCTTCGGATATCATTTATTATGTATGGATTTCGGTGAATAATCGTGAAAACGATAGGATACACTTGCGATAGGATGTTGTATATTTATGTATACTAATTGAAACTCTCGTACAACTTTCGTTTTTTTCCATTTTTCTCATTTTTCAAAAGGGCGACAATTAACGAGTTTCAATACTAATGTTTTCTTATTTTCTTTTTTTTTTGTCTCTACTTTCCTCTATGCATTCTATTGAGAATAATGCATTTTTTTTTAAACAAAAGTTGTACTGCAGGTAGAATGTTTATAATTGATACAAGATTTATTTTTGCAAACCTTTTTATTACTTACAAATATATGCGTACACAATATGAGAAAATGTATATCTCTTTCTCTCTTATGTGGAACATAAAGAGAAAAAAACTATCTTATATATCTCATATCTGTATATACAGGGTGTCCCATAAGAAATTGCTGGAATTAATCAGCTGTTATTTTTTAATATATGCAATTGAAAAAAAAAAATTATGTTAAGAAGAGGAAAGACTGCAGTTTTAAATATATATAAATAAAATGTTTGTATATCAGTTTATTTTATAGGAAGAAAGTAATGAAAGTGCTAATAATCACATATGTAAGCTAATGATAAATATTTTCAAAGTGCACACCATTTGAATTTATACAAAATTCTGTTCTCTTACAAAACCTTTTTCTCGCATAAACTTTTTAATAGCTACTATTAAATCCGACATTGTTGAAAATATTTATCATTAGTTTATGTGATTATTAGCACTTTTTCATCACTTGTTATCAATAAAATATACTAGTATACAAACATCTTATTTATATCCATTAAAAATTTTTGTTTTCTCAATAACTGCACGCATTGAAAAGTGACAGCTGATTAGTTCAGCAATTTCTTACGGGACACCCTGTATGATGCGTATATTTGGAGCAAGGAAGAGGCGCTGATTTTCGTTCGCGTTGCATCTTTTAAATTACAGAACTAGCTGCATCACTGAATTTATACGTACGTGTGTTCCTATTCAAGACTCGTATAAGCTATAGATGTAATTACATTATGAATTTACTTTATGAGCATTCGACTTATTGTGCCTTTTTTTATTGATTGCCAGGTTCAAAATAAAATATCACCCCGAGGAATCGGTGAAAAGAAAGGAAGAGCAAGTGTCAGCACTTAAGGTAGGTGATGTTAAAATCCAAAATATACAGAACATCATAACTTTCTGATTTTGAAATACTCACCTGACTGCGATTCTGTTATCTCTTATCGCAGAAACGCGTGGACGTTTTTCTGGAGTTGCTGAACTCCGAAGAGATAGAAAAAGTGTCCGTCGACGCTGATCAAGCGGATGCACTGCTGCATCTCTTAGATGCGGTGGTTATTAAACTTGAAGGAGGAACGGAAGAGGATTTGCAGGTTTTGAACATCAAACCACCTAAACCTATAATAGCTAAAGATGTGTTAAAGGAAAAGGAAGACAGTAAGAGTAAAGCTGCTGTGGAGAAAAAACCGGAGACTAGGTATTTATAACATCAGATATTAAGATATATATATATAAAAAAATCCAATCGATAATATATTCTATAATTATATCTGCTTTATTTTTCAGCGATGAAAGCAAGGTGGATGAGCATAGTGAGAAAAGTTCCAAAAACGATCAGAATGTGGTAACAGAAACCGAAAGTTCGGAGAAAGATGGAAATGCGTTATCTGATTCTGATAAAATTAAGCAATCTGATGAAGGTAAAGATGCGGAAGAGGAAACTGCTGATGATGAGAAGCCTTGTATGTATATTTTGACACTTGACGCTCATTTCATATTTAAGAGGTTGCAACATTATTAATCTATTGTTACAGCTGAAAAATCGGAGAAATCAAGGAAACGAAAACGTACCGAGAGCAATAGCAGCAGTAGTAGTAGCAGTAGCAGCAGTTCTTCTGGTAGTGACAGTAATAAACCAGATACTCCAAAAACAGAGACTCGTAAGTACTGCTAAATAGAATATTTCTTTGTATAAAATTATCATTATGTAACCGCATATTTATTTTACTTAAATCATATGTACAATTCTCAGCTGCTAATGAAAAAATGGAGACCAATAACGAGGAAGGCGATGAAGGAGACGTTAAGAAAGAGAATCAAGAAACTAAAGTGAAAGTAGAAGTTACGAATAATAAAAAATCTACAATTGAGCCGGAAGCGGTGATTGATTTGGCCAGTGAAGATAAGGACAAGGAACCTAGAGCTCTGCATAAAACGAGCAGCATTTTTCTTCGCAATTTGGCGCCTACGATCACCAAAGCAGAAGTTGAAGCGGTCAGTTGAAACGTTAGCTTGATTAACTTCATAAATACTTTACTGCGAATAATTCATACTTTTTTCACTACAAACTCTTCTTTTTATATTAACAATATAGTTTCTAGCAAATTTATAATAGATTTAAAAGAATATATTTTTTTTAGATTTATATTTTCTAATATTTTATATATATATTTTCTTTTATTAATATATTAATATATAATTTTATTTTATTAATATATGAATATATGAATATATTTTATTAATATATTAATATATTTTATTTATTAATATATTATATGTATTTTTATTTATTGAATAGATGTGCAAGCGATTCCCTGGATTTCTACGCGTGGCTATAGCGGATCCGCAACCAGAGAGACGATGGTTTCGCCGTGGCTGGGTTTCATTCGAGAGGCAAGTGAACATCAAAGAAATCTGCTGGAGTTTGAACAACATTAGAGTAAGTTTATTCATTTGCGTTGTTATATTAAAAGTAGGAATTAAGAGTACACTCTTATCTCTTTTTTTTTGTACAGTTACGCGATTGTGAGCTTGGTGCTATAGTGAACAGGGATCTGTCCCGACGTATTCGATCTGTGAATGGTTTAACATCCCATAAACAGATAGTACGACACGACATTAAACTAAGTGCCAAAATTGTTCACAATTTGGATAATAGGGTGGGACTATGGAAAGAAGAGAAAAAGGACGAAGGTACATTGAAGGAGGAAGAGAAAGAAAATAAAACTACTCAGAGTAATAATGAAGTCGAGCAAGCTGTAAGTAAAATTTGTGTATTATGTTTCAACGAAAGTGCTTGAAACTTAGTTTAAACAAATTTTGATTCAAGGCTTTCGGATTGTCATCTAAAAATCCGGTGTTGAAAAATATAACGGACTACTTGATAGAAGAAGCTTCAGCTGAAGAAGAGGAGTTGCTAGGTATGTCGGGTGAGCAAGAGGAAGGTCAGCTGGGTGGTGATGGAGATAGTTCCATTGAAAGAGATCCGGTTCTAATCAAGGTAACGAGAAAATTAATTAGTACAGGGTGTCCCATAGGAAATTGCTGAAGCTAATTAGCTGTTATTTTTTATGCATGCAGTTATTGAGAAAACAAAAATTGTGGTGGAAAGAGGAAAGTCTGCAGTTTTTAATGCATATAAATAAAATGTTTGTATACTAGTTTATTTGATTGATAAAAAATAATGAAAAAGGTGCTAATAATCATATAAAATCACATAAATTAATGATAAATATTTTCAACAGTGCTGGATTTAATAGCAGTTATTAAAAGGATCGTCAATAACATTTAAAAATAACATGTTAGAAAAAGTTCTTACGAGTTTTCGTAAAAGAACAAAATTTTGTACAAATTCAAATGGTGCGCACTTTGAAAATATTTATCATTAGCTTGCATATGTGATTATTAGCACTTTTTTCAACAAAACAAAGTGGTATACAAACTGGTATTTAAATCCATTAAAAGCTGCAGACTTTTCTCTTTCCAACACAATTTTTGTTTCCTCAATAACTGCATGCATAAAAAAATAACAGCTGATTAGCTTCAGCAATTTCCTAAAATGACCGATTACGGAAAGTAACTTGTTTGAATTACACTTTATACATGTCTCTCTGTTCTTAACGCAGGTGTTGGACAGATTAGTGCTGTACTTACGAATCGTGCATTCCGTCGATTATTACAATCACTGCGAATATCCAAACGAGGACGAAATGCCGAACAGATGCGGGATAATGCACGTGAGAGGTTCGCCGCCTACCGCCAAGGTTTCTAGCGGTGAATTAACCGAGTATTGTCGTAATTTCGAGAGCAAGATGTCGGTTTTCCTGCAGCCGGTCGCCACTTTGTCCACGGAAGATTTCGACAAGCTGGGCGCGAAGAATGCCGAGGCGTATCCTTTAACGCGAACAAATGCGTGCGAACAATCTAAAATTATTAGCGATTAATTCGTCATGCGAAATATATTTCTTTAACACCCGAACAGTGAAGTTGAAAAGTTCGTCCAAGCCAACACCCAGGAACTGTCGAAGGACAAATGGTTGTGTCCCCTCAGTGGAAAGAAATTCAAAGGACCTGATTTTATCCGCAAGCATATCTTCAACAAACATTCCGAGAAAGTCGCTGAAGTGAAAGCGGAGGCTGAATACTTCAACAATTATTTGAGGGACCCGAAGAGGCCTCAGCTGCCCGAACATCCTGGAAACAAGGCTCCGCTGAGAGATGGACCGCGCGAAAATTTCTCGCCATACGGTTGCAGCTCGTAAGTGTACAAAAATCATCGATAAAAATTAATAAATTATTTATTTAATTATTTATTTATTTATAATTAATGGGCAGACACGTCTGTACAATTATATAAAAATGTTATTCTACATAAATGCATTAAATGTATACATTTTCTGAGAATTATAATTTTTAAATCTGAAAGGAAGTGGATATTTAATGCGAACATCCGTGTTTCCAGATTCGGAAGCTACGGTGGCGGATATGGTGGTGGCAGGGGCAATTATGGTTCCGGTTACGGTGGCGGATTTGGCGGTGGATTCGGGAGTTCGCGTTCCAATCGCGGCGGATTCAACCGAGGACGGTAAGATTTCATTCTCTCTTCACGTTTCTCGACGAGCAGCGTCAGGGAAAAATTTGATAAATAAATATCAGTTCTATAGATAGATACAAATTGACACAGAGTTAGTTCGCATGTCAGCTTTCTCTATAAGGATATTTCTTCTTAAGGATCCTCGCCGCGGTCGTGTCAGATTGTGACGTCAGAGGCGAGAGAGCGCACGCTGAAAATTCTTAGATGTCATTTTTAAATGAAAAGATATTTCGATGGAACATTATTCCAGATCGAGATATCTTTTTATTCGAAATGGCATCTAAGAATTTTTAGCGTCTTTTCTTGTCTCTGACGTCACAATTCCAATATGATCGGCGAGGAGCCTTGAGAGGTGTTTGTTTCATCACAAGTATATTCCCGGGGTCCGGTTCGGGTTAATAGAGTGAACGTAGTCCTGCAATGTTTTACAGGGTCGCTCCAGAATCTGCGTCAAGACCTGTTATTAATTATAATGACTTGGACCAGTTAGACATGGACACGTTTTAAGCTTTATCGCGATCTACGCGAATGTCAAAATTTGCCACAGAACAAAACAATCATGAGAAAGTTTTATACAAATTGTCTCTGTACCAACATATACATATATGTATATGATGTGACGCTCTTATTGATAAAAGAGTAATATCCATTGCGTTACAAAATCAGCACAATCTTTTACTCAAGCTCTTCACAATTCAAATTTTTCAGATCATGATTTAAATTTGATATATTTTTTTTTAATCATAGTATATGATTTAAAATATGATAGTATAAGAATTTTTATGACATCTATAATGAGTTTGAAGATCCGCTGATATTGTAAATTTATGAGTAACAAATAAACCTATTTGTATTTTATTCTAATATATTTGTTATTTTATTTTATCCTATTTCCGCTTGAATCCTATGTCCGATTGGTCCTGCGAAATTGATATATTAATCCAAATCTCATATGTGGCACGAAAAATATATAATATCTTGATAATCTTAATACAATAACATTTTTACAAGTTTGTTGAGAGTTACTGAAACACTTAATTAAGTATACATAAAAGTTTGTATTTTTAATTTAATGTAGATATGTGGAAGATACATATAAAAATAAAAAAACATGCCAAGTAACATTAAAATAAATCTATATAATAATTTAAAACTAATATAAATATTTAAAAATTTAAATATATTGATATATTAATGTTCCTTTATAATTCTTCTAATAAATATTTAATATTGCAGTGGCGGTGGTAGCGACTTCCGACCAGTAATACATTATCGGGACCTCGACGCACCTCGAGAACCGGATGAATTCCTGTAAGATGGTCAAATGATGTCTGGAAGTGTCTGGTCGAATATGAAGATATATATGGACGCTTAAAATCATTTTAATATTTCTTTTATAAACACTTACACAGAAATATGCATTATTTGCGTATATATTTATTACACAATTGCTAGAATTAATTTTTAATTAAAAAAACGATTAAAGTTTAAGTAAATCGTTAATCGTAAAGTGTTTAGCAAAATGTGTATGAATATTTTAAGAAAAGAAATATTGAAACAAATTGTTTTTTTGCAAAAAAACAGACGCAAATGACAAGAAAGAAATCAAATTCGATTTAGAAATAACTATAATATAGAAACTTATATGTATACTTTATATATCACCTTGACTTTTTAATTAAAAGAGTACAGATTATTTTCCTTAAGTAGTAAAATATGCATTGATAAGATAGATAAAATCACTTATTCCACATAATCTTTCTTTCTTTTTTTTATTTTACGAGCAAAAGTATGAAAATGATTCATATAATCATAATATTTACGATATGTGTGAACGAAATGTAGAATTATATATATATAATAGTGACGTAATAAAAAGGGGTCCTGAAAATTATTTGTACTATTTTTAAGAGAGTAAAGAGGAAAAAGTGTAAGAAGAAGAGGATAGGACATTTTCTATATATATATATCGTTATATTTTTGCCTATATAACACACTATATACACATTACATTTATCTCTGTATAAAATACTGCATTTGATGATTTTCTTTGATTGGCAATGTCTTGTTCCTCCGCGAATGCGAATACTAAGTGAACCGATCCTTACAGTGTCTCTCATCCGTGCCGTCTCCGCAATCGTCATTTCCGTTACATTTCATTCCCTTCGTAATACATCTGCCGTTTCTGTACAACATAATTATATATGTAGACGCAACGCAATATTATCGATACACCTAATTGTGATTAAAAATTTCACAAGTTCTTTTCTATTCTTCTTTGTGAAAGAATTTAAATAATTAAATTTTTTAAATAAAAATTGAATATATTATTGTACTATTATTATAATTATATATTAAATTAAATTATATATAATTATAATAATATAGTTTTTAATACATAATACAATTTTTTTTCATGGAACAAAAATAAATTATATACGTTTATTATAAAATATTATATATTAAATTAATAAAATCTAAAAATAATTAATATATTATTTAATTTATTTCAATGTGCTAAGAATAGAAAAGACTACGAAAGATTTAAATGACACGATTCGGAATAAGATTCAATTTAGCGAAAATGCATCCGCATCGTGTGCATCCTTTTTTTCTCAATTATTTCTTATTACAGAGAGATGTTAATGGCTTACTGGCATGTAAATTCGTGTTTATTGCATCGACCTTGGCACCCGTGAGGTTCGTCCGATCCATCCTTACAGTCCGATAGTCCGTCGCAAAAGCGAGTTTTTAATATGCAATCTCCATTATTGCAAGTAAATTGGTTGTCCAAGGGGCAAGCTAAAATGAAAATCATTGATAAATTTTAAGCCGATTTTTTTAATAATAAATAATGCGCCTCTTAATATATTTGGTAACTTGAGACATCAAGTTTTCGTTCGTATGATTTTCTTTTATATATGTATATATTTATATGTGTATATAATATATGATATATATTTAATACATATATATATTATATGATTATTATACATATATAATTATATATATACATTACATTATATATATATAGATATATATATATATATATATATATTTTAAAAATATATTTTAATATATATATTACATATTTCAAAAATATATTTTAATAATTATATTTAAATAAATGATATTATTTAAATATATTTATATTAATTTTTTATTTATATATTTAAATTATATTTTCAAACTCTTATTTTTTCATAGAATCTCTCAATTGCTTTGATCAAAAATCGATTGTTAAATTTGTACATATATTGGAGTATTTATTTACAGAATATAACACAGATCTCATCAGTCACTTTTTATCCATGAATTATTTTGCATCCGGGATATATTCGAATGCCAAATTAATTCATACATGTCTTATATATAAGCGAACGAATCATGCAATATTCTTGTAATAAATGATCGGCAATGCGACAGGATGTGCAGGCATGCAGATTTGCACTTTCGTGCAAGAAACAATATCTACTTTTTTCATGTTATTTTCTCAAATATACAAACACAAATGTACTCACACCAATCGAGATTACGACCTACGGAAAGAAATGAAAAGATATAAGAAAGGAAGTTTTATGTAGGTCAAGCAATACAAAAAAGCAAAACTACAAATATATAATAATTTATTCCCAATTCTGCTTCGAATTTTGCACAGTGTTCCACATATATCTTTTTTCTCGTATGTATCTTGTAAAAAGTTTACATCAAATATCGTGGAAAATATATGTATTTTAATATATATAATACCTATATATTAAATATATATATTTATATATATTTAAATTATAATATAAATTATTATATATATTTATATTATTTTTAATATATATTTATATATATATTTAATATATATTTATAAATTAATTAATATAATATTAACATACATAGGTATATTTAATATATATTTTACCGTGAAAAATGCTCACAGAAAAAAATTGTCAAGAGAAAAAGATTAATGGTCATTTTTTTGCTATTACTTTTTATCGCACACACAACAGAATCTCTAAAAAAATTAATTAACACGACCAAAGAAATGTTCGACAGATGTAGGCCACTGTGTAAAATAATTCGGCAGATTTTTTTTTAATTACAATTTATCCTTCTGTCAAAAAACCGGATATCCGTATTTGAAAATTGATAAAAAAAGGTGAAAAATTATGCATTGACAGAAGGAAGAAGGGAAGCACATATATAAGCCCAGGTAGCAAAAGTACGTCATTTTGACGTCGATGGCGCCATTAGACGTCAAAATGACGTTTAATGACGTCAGTTTGCTACTTGGAGGATACATTCCACGAAAAATCTCGATACCCCTATTTGTACAAAACGTAGCATTTTTTGCGTTTCGTCAAACATTTCAACACCATGTCGTTATCGCGCAGAAAGAAAAAAAGAATAAAAAAAAAACGCTCACCTAACGTGCAATTAATCTCGTCGGTTGCGTCCCAGCAATCTATCTTTCCGTCGCATCTCCTCTCCAACGGAAGGCAGGAGGTCTCGTTACCGCATTGAAAATGCGTCTCCAGATTGCAGTCTGAAAAAGAACGTCTGCATTAAATACGTTTTTTCATTAATTAATTCAAATGAGCAATTACGCGTGAATTGTTCGGAGATATCTGCACTTACATATAGTCTTTTCATAAATGCTATTTATTAATATTTATTTACTGCAAAATAATTTATTATACAAAAAATTTATAAAATTTATTACAAAATAATTTTAATTTATTACTAAAAAATTATATATATTTGTTAATCATATATTATAAAAAATAGATATATAAAAAAAGCAAATAAATATATATTTATATAATAAATATATATAATAAATAAATATATTAAAAGGATAATTATATATAATCGCAATAATTTGTAATTTATTACAAAAAAAAAAAAATGCGGAATTTATCTCACGCGAAATCTCTCGTGGGGAATAAAAATTTCAATGACAATAGAAATTAATAACAGAAACTCGATAATAGACGATCGATTTTATCTTTTTTGTTGAACTTGTTTTTATTCTGGTATAGTCTGCTGTGCAAAGAAACAATTTGCTTTTATGAAAGTATAAATTTTTGCATGCTTATTTTACACATCTGTAAACGAATCGAAGCCACGTTAAGATAATTTTCGGGAAGAAATAATTCTGTTATAATTCATTATATTTAATTTATATTTTTTCTTTGTGCAATTTTTTTTAAATTTGATCATTAAATTTCACAACTCGCACCATTTTTCAAGTTTCCTCATTCTGATCGGAATCGGATCGTTATGCTTTCATATATGCGACCGCAAAGCGAGATGAAAAAAACTAGTAAACCGAAGCCTCGCAAATAATGGCAAAGTAGAAAAGCCGATAACAGAAAGTTATAGGTCACACTGAACTGGGGCAATGCGGCATGTTTTAACGAGAGACAAAATCGCACGCGGATAACAGCTTATGATGACGCTTCACGATATTTTCAGATCGAGGTGAGCAAATAAGTCTCACCTGATTATAATTATTTTATATATGTGTGTATATATGTATAAGGGAGAAACATTTACTATATATATTACCTGGTATATAATTACTCATATAATTATTTATATTGATCACACATATTGATGATAATTAGATTATTATCAAGAGGATGCCAAACTTTGATTGTTTCCATTGAAGAAAAATCCCAAGGAGAACAGAAAATCAAAATAATATCATTTTGACGTCATTGATCAAATTTGGTCAAGATGACGTCAAATTGACATTATTTTGATTTTCTGTTCTACTTGGGATCTGATATTTTCCAGATAGCAAGTGACGTCAAAATGACGTCACTTGCTACCTGGTTTGTTTCAAGATTTTTCGTTTTTTTTGCAAAAAAAGTAAAATAAATTAAAAAAAATTTTTAAAATAAGTAATTAAAAAAATTAAAACTAGTTTATAATACAATATTGTAAAATTTAGTCAAGTTTATTTGAAATCTCGAGAAGAGATAAATGTGATTCAGATCCTTTATTTATGCTTACCGCAATTGTATTCATCCGAATGATCGTAACAATTCATGTGGCCGTCGCAACGCTTCTTTAAGGGAATGCACAATGTGTTGGAACAAGTCCATTCGTCTTCCAGACAATAGTGTTCGATCTCCACACATCTTTAACATAAAAACAGATGACATAATGAAAATAACGAATCGATTATAAAATTTTTTAAATGCATATATATGTATGAAAATAATCGACAATTATAATATGTAGGTAATTATGCAATATATTTTTCAAGATATTTTTTTTCATAATTCTAATACTTCATTTTCTCTAGTTCACAGAGTTAAAACTAAAAAATCCGCTTTTAGAAATCCATTAACATGAAAACTCTCGTAAACTCGAAAATTCTTAAAACTTTACATACATGTAGGAAGAATAAACAGATGAATTTAGAAATTTTTGCAGCTAAAAAACGATTTTAAAGGATAAAACCTTTTATATATAAAGCGGCTTTTCGAGATGTAAGCATTCGAGATATGAAAAAATATTTTACACAAAAGTTTCATGGTAAAAATACTTCTAAAATTTAATCACGATAATAAAGTTTTGAAAAAAATTATTATATTAAAGATTTAGAAAGACATTTTTTAACATTATTCTTTCAAAATATTTATATAATTAAATAAAAGTTCTTATCATGAAATTTTTGTGTAAAACATTTTTTTATATATCTCAAATATATCGTTAAACGTATTAAATGTCAAAATGACGTCAGTTTGCTACTTGGGTTGTCTCGATATATTTTTTTAGAAGTATTTGAGATATATCAAAAAATGTTTTACACAAAAGTTTCATGATTAAAACTTTTATTTAATTACATAAATAAATTTTAAAAAATCTTTTTTTTTAAATCTTAAAAAAAGATAATTTTTTTCAGTAGCAAACTGACGTCATTAAACGTCAAAATGGTAAAATATCCTTCTACGTATGAGGGATAGTTTTAGAAACAAAATCCCGGACTCTGTCGAAGATACCCAGAAAACAAACTGACGTCATTAAACGTCAAAATGACGTCAAGAAACGTCATTAAATGTCAAAATGACGTCAAAACGTCATTAAACGTCAAAATGATGTCAAGAAACGTCAAAACGATGTCATTTTGACGTTTAATGACAGATTAATCCGATAAGGGTAAGCATCTCGACGAACCTAAAAGCGTCTACGTCGAGGCGATGGCACTTCTGCTTATTAATGACGCAGAAACCGGCACATCCGGTGAGATCCTCGCGATCCCGGGGGCTTTTGCACATCGGCACCTCCTCGTTGACGAGGGCGACGCACACCTCGTTCTCGAGGCAATCGTCGCAATATCTCGTTGCATTAGCGCTCGCATTCGTAGTGGCGGAAACGGAAGTGGACGACGTCGTCGATGACGAAACGTTCTCCGGAAATGACGCGTCGCTGTTCAAAAAGGCGGCCATGCTGAACGCGTCGATGCTCGTCGTCATCATCCTGGACGTCGATTCGATCAGATCGGGCTCGTCATTCGGTTCGCCGGATGTTGCGTTCTGCTCCGTCAACTTGCCCGACGATTTCAGGTACTGCTGAATGATCTGAAGTTTTTCCGGCTCTGCAAAAGAGGAGGAGACGTGTCAGAGAACAGGTGCTGGATATCAGTCATCGCGATCGAAAAAAGAACTTGTTATTTTCCTGTAAAAACGGAAGTTGGAATTTAAATATATATATCACGCTTTTATGAGACTTGACAGATAGTCCAGTAAAATTAGACTTGAAGAGAGCAAAACTTCATAAAAATTAGGAGCAAGCTGAACTTTTGTGGAGACCTTTATTTCGACGTTCTAATGAATTCCTGAAAAGTACCCTTAATTTTTTTATGGGGGGTAAAAGCGGGTAAATTTTAGTTTTTTGCCATTATCTCGAAAACTATAAATTTTTCGAGAAAAATAGTTATTATCAAAGTTATAGCTCATAAAATTCTCTACAAAAAAGGTTATACTTTTTTTCGTGGAATTAACCGTTTTGAAGATATAGAGCGAATTAAGTCTGAAAGAAAATGTCCATATTACTATTTGTAAGAAGTGTAGAACAATTATATTAAAAATATTCCAACTTTACCGCACGTTTTACTCAAAATCGATTAGTTGTACAAAAAAAGTATAAAAACCTTTTTTGTAGAGAATTTTATGAGCTACAATTTTGATAATAACTATTTTTCTCGAAAAATTGATAGTTTTCGAGATAATGGCAAACAACTAAAATATCTCTCTTTTATACTCCCCATAAAAAACGACCTGGCTGAAATTAATGGTACTTTTCAGGATTTCATTAGAAGATTAAAATAAAGACCTCCACAAAAATTCAGCTTGCTCCTAATTTTTATGAAGTCAAAAATCTAATTTTACTGAACTATAAGATTCGTCTGTCTTTAATCATCTCGACTGTTCAGAATAAATGAGAAATTGTTAAAGTATATACAATGAGAAGAGAATTTGAAAACTATTTTTAATTAGTTAAGAAAATTTTCCCCACGATTTTTTAAGTATTTATGTAAATATTTTTTACATATTTATGTAATATTATTTTATCCAGCAAAATTAGCACAAACTTTCTCACCACAAAAAATAATTTAAGCAGTACAGAAGCAATCTCATGTTCTCCAATATATTTTTTTTCGTTTTCTTATTTGTTAACTTTGTCTATTATATTGAAAACCAGAAAAAAATCAATCATATAATTATGCAAAAAAAGTAAATAAAAAAAGTTAAGTTTTATTATTTCAAACTCTACATGAATATATTTTTTAATTTTTTCTCTTTTTAAATTTTGAAGAATAAAAAAAGTCTCAGAAATCAGAAACAATCAATTATTATGTGGAAAGGGGCAGGTAAACAAGATCCTGATGTTTTACCTCAAATTTGACGCGAATAGATTTTTGTAAATTTTTGGTTTCTTTCGCTTTAACGTTCCTAATTTCGTGTATTCGAAGGCTGAAGAGAAGGGCTGAAAGACGAATGAATTTCTCGCGAATCCGCAGGATTCCTCAGCATTTGCACGGTCATTGGCTTTTGTCGCCTTTCATCGCCTCAACTCGATCGGCCAAGGAAACGTTGTATTGACCCCGCGGTTAAATTCATCTCATTCAGTTGGACAAGCAATTGCTATATACACTTCGTCGAATTAAACCTCGGCCTGGGATGCGGATATTTTTAATTGTCCGAAATGATAAGGCGACGATGCATAGTAAATAAAGCACCGTTTATTTGCGACTACATCCGTACAGAGTGGATCATAAAAGTAAAATTGACGTATATATATATTTTATAGTCATTTATAGTCATTTATTATAGTCATTAATTTATAGTCATTTATAGTCATTATATAGTCATCAATATTCATTTATAGTCATTTATAGTCATTAATTTATAGTCATTATATAGTTGTTATTTACAGTCATTAACTTATAGTCATTATATAGCCATTATTTAGTCATTTAAACACAATTTACCTAGGTAAATTGTGTTTAAATTACTATAAATAAACAATTATATGTATATGACTATAAATTAATGACTATAAATAAAGACTATATAACGAATATAAATTAATAACTATAAATGACGACTTTATAATGACTATAAATTAATGATTATAATAAATGACTATGAATGACTAAAATTTGTCTATTACTCTTTCCAGCCTTATATGTCCGACAATTATGCCTCTTTTCTCTTCAGATAATTCCTTTTTTTACCATTTTAATATCACGTGGAAAAAAAAACAGAAAACTATTTTTCCAAAATATGCATTTAAAGATGTTTGTTTGAATTGATTTTTGCTTGAATTTTGATTTTGTCAGCATCAGCTGATTATGACAGATCAATTTCGCTGACAAAATTTGTAGCAAAATTTTTTAAGCAAAAAATGTCACCGAGAGAAATTCAAACATATATATATATATATATATATATATATATTAATTAAAAGTTTTCTTGATTTTTCCTTACAATTACAAAAATTTTGGAATATTAGTGCTCTGCAAACAAAATTGAGAATGTAAAAAAAATTATTAATAAATTCCTTGTAAAAATCGCATCATTTATAAATAAATTAATATCTTTTGTGTCTCTCTATTTTAAAGTCAAACAACTTTTGCGAAAATGTTTTGTTACAAAAAGTGTAGAGATAAAGATGTTTAGGGTTTAAAACATTAAATTGCCCACTTTGTACATATATAGAGTATATTCTAGCACGCAATCCCTGATAGAGACAAGATGAAAAATTGATATAAAAGTTGTAAATTTGATCAAGAGTAACTTCACTATTTTATACTTTATTCGTTATTAAATAATATTTATTTTTCCTTTTACTATTTTTGAATAAATTAATAAAGAAGAAAATGATAAAAAAGAAGAAGCTCTTGTTGCGAGAAGATATATTTGTAAGTCTTCTCATATTTTTATTTTAAATAATTCTTTGTTTAAAAATAATCCCTATTTAATAAATAAATTTAATAAGAAGAGAATGTCGCATCATAAAAATATCATATAAAAATATATTATATAATCGTCTAATCATAAGATCTTAATTCAATCACAAGAATATAATTGATAGCTCAGAAAATAAAAGAAATAATAAATACATTTTTTTTATATTCGATCGTACAAAATACTATTTAAAAAATTTGCAAAATATAACACAGAGAAAAAAATAAAAATAATAAATTAAAAAGGCTCTGCTGTACAAATACAAAATTTTTAAATTCCTCTTTAATTATTTTGTGGTTCAAATAAATTAATACATTAATTATATAATAAAATAATTAAATAAAAAAATACTTAAAATATTTAAATAATAATTAAAATAATTAAAAATAATAATTAAAAGTAATAATTAAAAATAATAATAAAAAAATTAAAAATGATAATGAAAAAATTGAGAAAGAATTTTGTTGCGTCTGACGTAAATAAATAAGGGTTTACTCACCGAAGACGATGTACAACGCTACTCCAGCGACTCCTAGCAGGATCAGCAGGATAATCAGCAGGGGCACGAGCGGATTGGTGCATATGGATGCCCTCAGGGGACGAGCCAGGTGTAGCGTCCAGCCACGGCGATGATGCTTGTCGAGACGCGCCGGATGCGGTGGCGGCTCGTTTCTGACACTTCGACGTAGATTAACGCGATTCTGCGAGGTCGGGGTGTGCGTCCGCGCCGGCAGGGAATAGGCCCTCTGAAAAGAACGAAAGCGTAAATGTGAAATAAACGGCCGGCGCTAAAACGCGAACGCGAATTTACGAGCGGAGCGTAAATCTTAGAAATGATCTCGTGAAAAAAGGGCAGGAAGGAAATAAAGGAAAAATAAAAAATAAGAGGGAAATAAGGAATAAAAGTGCTCCTTATTTGGAAGCACAGGGGAAATTGATTCGAAAAGTAGAAACAATGGAATGAAAGAAAATTAGTTAGTCTATATAAATTAAATTTTATATATTATATATTATTTATTTAAAAAATTAAATTTTAAATTTAATATATTTTTTATTTAATATATTTTATCCTTCTCTGAAGAATTTTTCTTAATATTAATAAATATTCTTTTTATAGTGGAAAATATCAACCAAGTTTTATTTTTTTTTAAATTTGTCTGACATTTCAGAAAAAAAATAAAAACTTTTTTACTAAATTTTACCTCCTTCTTTAGAAAAGTGTAATTCTTCAGGGAGGGATATAAAAAATCCCTCTTAATTTTCGACAAAGAATCATTTCCTAAAATTTGTTGCACTTATTTAGATGCACTTTGTATATACATACAAAATTTAATCTTTTATCTAGATATATATTTAAAACAAAATCTCATCTAAAATAAATGTATATATTTTTCTCATATTTATAAAGCTAATTTTAAAATCATCTAAGCACAACACTGTTGACTGACAAGTGACCAGATCTTGATTTTGAGAAATGCAGTTCTGCATATAACACTTTCGTAATTTTTGCTGTCTGCCTCTCTCGACGGTGTCGAGGCTCGCCGACGACCAAGTTTACGCCAGGCTATAGATAGACGTTTTCCACTTCCGTTCCGTTTTGTTTCTTTACGTCGGTGCCGCGCCAGACGGCGGCTGTTTCTTCCTCTTCTTCTTCTACTTCTTCTCTCGCGGAGGCTGTCAGCCCCGATGAGGGTTGCTTTCGAAATCGCCAAACCGCGCATATCCGTCATATATTTCTCTCACCATGTGGATTCCTGTATTTATTTGTTTATCCACTTCACACACACACACACAATCACCTGTTCATATATTTTATAATAAAATATTATATATTATATAATATATAATATAATATAATATATTACATATTATATAATATATATATATATATATATATATATATATATGATATATTATATATATATTATATACTATATTTTATTGTAATATAATATAATATATATATTTATAATTCCCTTCTTGGGATTTTTTCAAAATATACAACGCACATTATTCCCTGGATTTTTATTAATCCGACCAGATACGGCGTGACGAGATCTTTTATTTAATTATGGTCCTTATTATTTTTTTTATTAAAATATTTTTATACAAATATTTTAATAATATAAATTGTGTTTAAAATATTTTTATGAAAAATAGTTTGCCTAAAAAATCTTTCACATTTGTTAATAAATTAAATAATATCAAAATAATTTTGTGTCAATAATACAAAAATAACGTCTTCATATTCAGATAAATAATAAATATATGATACACAGAAAAAATGTATGTAGGCATGATAATTAAATTTCATGTGTAATATAGAAATAGCTAAAATTTGCTATAGTAGCTAATTTTTTAAATATAAAATACATAGAAAATGCGCTAAATACATGATAAAATATTTTTATAATTTAATTTTACAATAATTTTTATATATATTGTAGAAATTTTAACTTGAAATCTTATTTATAATAATAGTTCAACTCTTCTATTCGGCCACGATTTCTCGCGGTTTCGTTAGAGCATTAGGACGGAAGTTCTCGAGAAAACTATCTAGGAAGCATAACACAAACTACAAGACGCTTAAAATAATGTCACACCTGCAAATCTAATCTTAGAGAGCGGCTTTCAAGTAATCCTGGTATCATATTTATTTTTTAGTTAAAAGGAAAGAGCTGGTTTGATCTTCTTTAAATGTTGAAACACGTTTAAAGTTCTGAGAAATATATATTTACTAAAATCAGGGTTGGGTAAGTTAATAATTTTTTTTAAACTAAATTAAAGTTAGTTGTTTATAAAATTAATTTAGTTAAAATAAGTTGCACGAACAAAAAATTGACTCAGTTAAAGTTAGGTTTAAATTAATTGAAGTTAAATCAAAAGTTAATTTTCAAAAACATCATTTATATATATATATATATATATATAATATATAAATTAGAATTTTGTTTGTTAATGTTTTTAAAAGTTATAATAACAAATAATAAAGAAATTTTAATTTTTATATAGAAATATATTTTTGGTAATTACAATTAATGACAAATTAATATAAAAATTAATAATACTTTAATTTAAAAATAATACATTTAGAACTTATAAAAAACAATAATAGTATTCAGATATAAAAAAAATTTAATTTAGGAAAAAAGTTTATAAAAGTTTGATGAAAAATATAACTAGTTCAAAAATTAATACATTTTAAATTAACTAAGCTAAGTTATTAACTTTTTAACTTTTAACTAATTAATTAGTTAGTTATTACCCAATTCTGACTAAAATACAAAAAATAAAGTACAATATTTTTTACAAACAAATAATAAAATAATTTGAGATGCAAGATACGAAATAAATAAAATATGCAAATATTACGCACAGAATGAAATATCAGTGCAATTTCTAGGTAGCTCAATATATTAATATTTACACTGAAAACAATTACGTGAAAAAAATCATTATCAATAATCTGATAACACAAAACTCTATTGTATATCTAAACATGATTATTGCACATAAATGTGAAGAGAAAAATAACAGCCGAAAAACAAGGAGATCAAAGAGATTAATTACCACGGAATTCGCCGATAAAGCGGGCTTTACCTTCATTTAGGGCTGTTCAACTCTCTCAATCGCCGTTGATTAAAAACAATCACATTTAATGGCACGCGATGGAGAAAGAGAGGGTTTAACGATGCCCCGATACACTCCACGGAATGTCAAAGATGCCAATCGACCCGCTTCTGTCACGAAGCTTTAAAAGCCGAACGGGAAGGAGAAATCACTTACTCCATCTCTCTCTTTCCCTCTTTCTTCTCGCTCGCTCATGCGTACACACTTGGCACGCGCGGCGCGCACGTGTCCGCCGATGACGTAACTAGTCGTCACTGCCACGCGCTTATCGCGCTTTCATGCGCATACACATGTCTTCTTAACGTTGCTAATTCGTTACCGCATAATGGATAGACTCGTAAAAAAAACAATCAAACTTTAAAACTTCGAAGGGTGCAATAATGATCCAATTTATCTTTTTAGAAACTTCAGATTTCTAAATAATAATTTATTACTATCATTAATAATTATTAATATAGTTATTAATCATTAATATATATGTATATATATATACATACAATAATTATTAATAATATTAATATATTTATAATTATTAATGCAAGTATTAATAATTATTAATAATTATTAATATAACTATTAATAACTATTAATATAACTGTTAATAACTATTAAAATAATTATTGATATAACTATTAATAACTATTAATATAACTGTTAATAACTATTAATGTAACTGTTAATAACTATTAATGTAACTGTTAATAACTATTAATATAATTATTAATACAACTATTAATAACTATTAATGTAATTATTAACATAACTATTAATATAACTATAATTAATTATTAATATAACTATTAATAATTATTAATATAACTATTAATTATTAATATAACTATTAATAATTATTGCTATTTACTAATAATTATTAAACGAAAATTTGTACAATCAAAACAGATGCAATCGATATGTTGAACGAGACTTTTATTAAAAATACCTTATGTCAAGAAAATCACTTTAAGAAGTTTTTTTCACACATTTACACACAGTAATGTTAAAATATTAATAAATCAATTTTTCTTTTCCTTAGTTTTCAAGAAAATATATTAAATTTGTATATTTCTCAAAGAAACATTTTTCAACTGTTTTTTCAATTAATAAAATTTATTTTATTTCCAACTTCGTTTAAAAAATCATTAACTTACCAACCCTGATCTATGAAAATTAAAATACAAAAAATGGTACAAAATCACTCATGACTAACTATTTTTCTAAAATGTGTGTTTTAAAATATTACACGTTTAGCAGGATCTTATTCCGGGCAGCGCGAACGCAGTTCCGACTACCAAAAATTATACGCCCGAGATACCCACTTTAGGGGTATTCGCAGGGGTCAGCCAGATCCTAAGTGCAATGGAAAAAGCCTCTCCCTAGAGGAACCACCTTCTTGATCATGGTAGCCTCTGTGCCAGGTAAGTATGCTTTACGAACCACCGAACTCTTTCATAGTGTCTATTCGGTGAATTTTAAATGGGAGAAACAAATGTCAGAATACGCCGCGTAGCGGAAATTTGGTGGAACTAGAAGTCTTCCGGCAGCGAGTCGTTTAATCGAAACTAGCCGGGTGATTCTCCGGCCTCGTCTAACAATATAATTCTAAGTAAGTGTATTTTCACGTCGTTATTTTGCGTCTTATTTCGTATAAAGAAAATTGACGTTATAGGCATTTGTGTTTAATTTTTTTAATAAATTTATTAAAATTCAAAAGATTGCTTCTTATATATTTTTTTTTCTCACGAGCTAAATAATAATTTAATCGGTGTTAAATATAATAAAACGCTTTTTTTTATTCTACATTATTTTCATTGTGTTTAAATTTTTTAAATATATTTATTAAGATTTGTAAAAATTTGTGTATTCTTATCTTTAGAGAACATTTTTCTTTTACTATGATATCTTAATTTGTATAAAATAAAAATGCACAAAAAGCATTGTATATTAATTTAACTCTTCCATCAATACATACTTTTTTACCTATGTTTCCATTAATATAAAAAAAAAATGTGTTGAATTCGAATAAATATTTATTTCAATGCTACCTAATAAATCATTTATTTGAAAGTAATAATATTGATTTTTTATGTGAAAAATATTTATTTGATATAAAAAAATGTGTTTTAAATGAATGATTTATTCAGCACTATATTGAAATAAATATTTATTAATTTAATAATTTTTTTCAGTTTGAATACCTAACTGTATTAATTGCATAATATTAATCGGACGTTATAGATAAAGAAGCGCTTTTCTTCAATCCTACATTTTACGTCGATAAATTTCAAAAATAAATTTAACAAAATTTTTCACATTTTTATCTTCTCGCGAGCTAAAAATATTTTTTCTGCTAAGATATTTTAATTCGTGTGAAATAATAGATACAAAAGTGGATAAAAATAATATATTGCATCAGTAAATTTAACTCATCTGTCAATGCATAATATTTCACCTTTTTCTCTCTCTTGTAATATTTTAAGTTTTTCCGAACACAAAGATCCTTCGTATTTTTTTAAGAGGCGGAGAAAAATTTCGACACATTTTAAATATTTAAAATTGCTTTGGAGATATAGTCCAGTAAAATTAGATTTGAAAAGAGCAAAACTACAAAATAAATTTTTGTGGAGACCTTTATTTCGATATTCTAATGAAATCTGAAAAATATCCTTAATTTCAGCCAGAGCGTTTTTTTATGGGGGATAAAAGGAGGTAAATTTTAGTTTTTTGCCATTATCTCAAAAACTATTAATTTTTCGAGAAAAAAAGTTATTATCAAAATTGTAGCTCATAAAATTTTCCACAAAAAAGGTCATTATACTTTTTTTCATACAACTAATCGTTTTTGAGTAAAACGTGTGGTAAAGTTGCAATATCTGCAGTTCGTTATATGTCTATAGTAGATTTTCTCTTTCAGATTTAATTCGCTCTATATCTTCGACACGGTTAATTCCACGAAAAAAAGTATAATGACTTCTTTTGTAGGGACTTTTATGGGCTACAATTTTGATAATAACTAATTTTCTCGAAAAATTGATAGTTTTCGAGATAATGGCAAAAAACTCAAATTTACCCCCATAAAAAAGCCTTGGATAAAATGAATTATAGAAGACATTTTCGACAATTTACCTGGAAAGGATTCTGATCCTTGACGTCGGTGTAGAATATCGGCGAGTCCTTGCCGTACCAGCGATCCTGCGAGTAGATGGAATTAATCCTCATGTCGGTCGGTCGCAACATTTTCTCCTGGCCCAGCATCCTGTCGTTCCCCAGGAACTTGGCCGCGTTCTCCGTCGTGAGGTTCAATTCGTTCTCGAAGAACACAGTCGGTGCCCCGATATCGCCGAGACTCGTCCTTTTCACGATCGGGTAGATCTTGATGTTCTGCGGCCTCAAGAGCGAATCCCGGAACAGAAGGTTCGACGTAAGATCCGGATCCTTCAGGATCTCATCCTTGCTGCCGGCCAGCTCGTCCAGCTTCTCGACGCCCACCAATTTGCTCCTGCAGTGCTTGCAGTCCTTCTTCCTGCGTCTGCGATTCGTGCGCCGATCAGGATGCGAGGACGAATCGTCCTTATTCGAGTCCGACAAGGACATTCCCTTTTCCAGGACATCCTTCTCGGGAAGATCCTGGGGACCTGGAGGATCGGCAAGATTTTTTGTGACCTTTTCAAGGTCATCGTCCTTCGTCCTGGAGGACGAGGTCCCGCTGTCGTGATTTGTGCTGATCTCAGCCGGGGAGGACAAGGTCTGCAGGACCAAGGACTCGTCGGGAATCGCTATCGGCGGTGATGATCCTGCGCGATTGATCCAGGCCTGTTTGGCGAAATCGGCCGATTTCTGGGGATCCTGGGTCCCGTTCGGCAAGGATATCCGCTCGGAGAGCTCGGGGGCGACCTTCTCGCCGGAGATGTCCTCGTACACGTGACCCTCCGGATGCGGCGTGCTCCTGGCGACGAGAGGATCGTCGCCTCGATCGATCCTGTCATGGGGCTCCCGATCGCGATAGCGAAACTCGAGGGTGGATTGTTCTTCTGCGGCGCGCGAATGTTCCTCCTCGTAACCTTGGTTCTCCATCTGAAACTGGAGATACAAAATTAGTATTGAGAGCTTTTTTAATTCGCAGCATCACTGCTGGGAGTCTTAATTGATCCCGCTGTCAATGAACCCGAAGCAACTTAATCCTAGAGTTGGCGCGCTGTCAGATGGAACATAAGAGGTCACGTGGGTGACATCTGTCATCCATTTTTTAAAAGGCGAATATTAAAATATGAAGATATATGAGCGCATCATTTATTTAAATGTATTAATAATTGAACTTAAATTTAAAAAATTTTGACGCATAAAAAAAATTATGGAACATTAGAGGTCACGTAGATGACAACTGTCATCCACTTTTTAAAAGACGAATATTAAAATATGAAGATATATGAGCGCATTATTTATTATTTAAATGCATTAATAATTAAACTAAAATTTAAAAAATTTTGACGCATAAAAAAAATAAAAAATTATAGAACATTAGAGGTCACGTGGGTGACATCCACTTTTTAGAAGACGAATATTAAAATATGAAAAACGTATTATTTATTTAAATGTTTTAATAATTAAACTTGAATTTTTTAAAAAGATTTCGATGCATAAAAAAATAAAAAAATTGTTCACGTAGATGACTAATATATGTCACTTCAGGGTTAAATGTGTCGGAATTTTTCTTCCCCCAAAACAAAATTAAAAGTATTAATAAATAAAATACAAAGGAAAATATAAATAGAAAAAAAATTTCGATGTCTAACAAATATGTTATAAAAAAATTGTGCAAAGTGTCAAAAATACACAATTGATATTAAGATACAATTGAGGTCAAGGTAAACGATTTATTAAATTTACTAATTTTATTATCTATTTATTAATTTTGTTGCGAGTTATTTTTAAAATTAAATAATACATAATAATGCTGTGATAATATATGTATAGGTAATACGTGATAAATATTGATTTCATGTGAAAAATATTTATTTGTTTCAAATAAATAATTTATTAGGCAGTATTATATATATGAAATACATATTTACTTTAATATATAATTTTTATTTGATGCACGAACTGTCAGAAACAGCTGTTTTTGACGTATGACGCTGAAAAAAATTTATTGAATTGGAATAAATATTTATTTCAATACTGCCTAATAAATCATTTATTTGAAACTAATAAAAAAAATAATATATGTATAAGAAAATTCTTTTCAAAACAGATAAATATTTATTTCAAATAAATGATTTATTATATAGGCAATATTGAAATAAATATTTATTAATTTAATAATTTTTTTCAGTGTATTATCAATATAAAAATGGAATATTCGATAAGAAAAGAAAGCGTTAGACAGATTGAAGTTACATCGATACAATATTTTCGTTACGGCAAGTCACGTGTACATCAACTAAATTGCTCTCCGCATCTTATACAAAAAATAAGATATACATGTTTAACGATATAATTTGCGTTGAGATTAATGTCTTTTCTTAGAATACGCATACGCATAAAAAACTTACGAGCGCCGAACTAGAATTGTTTCGTGCAAAAATATATCCGCACGTGTATTTCTCGGACAATTTTAAGCTATTACACGCGTAAGAGGGAAGACACGAGGCGAAAATAAAAGGGAGCAAAACTGTATATATATAGGGGAAGAAGATGAATCGAGCATTTTTCTCTCTCTCTCTCTCTCTCTCTAACCTTGGGGAAAGAAGCGTCCGCACGATTGTCGCAATTATCGCGACTTGACTCTCCGATTGATCCCTGTCCGGACTCGTGACGTCATTGGGCCAACGCGCCCGTGGGATTCGTTTATTTTCTTAATTCGTCCGCATGGATGCTCTCTTACAGCGATACGCTTAGATTTTCGCAATCTTACACGTGCCAGCGCGATGCCCTTCTCCCTCTTTTCTTTCATCAAAGAAAATATACATATATGTCCCAGACAGCACAGAATTATATATTTATAAAATATTTATAGAATATTTATAATAATATTAATATATATTAATTTATTAACTAGACTAAACCTTTCAACTAAATATTATTTTGTTAATTGATCATATAAAATATTTAAATTAAGTATAATTATATTAACAAAATAATATTAATTTAATATTATATTATATTATGTTATAATATTATATTAATATATGTATATATATATATTATAGTATATATATTAATATATATTAACATATGTTAATTAATATATGTTAATATATGTTATATAGTTGATAGATTTAGTCAAGTTAACAAATTTTTTTTTCAGTGTATATAAATCGATTTTCGTCAATATTAATTATCGTTTGCTAGAGACGTGGAACTCATCATATTTCGCTGCAGTTTCAATTAATCTCACGTGTCTGTTTCTCCGTTAAATTTCCATTTTCGATCGCCATCATTTGCTCGAAGAATGCGTTCGCGCGCGAGGTCGGCACACAAAGGGACCATTCACTAATAAATACAATTAGCGGGTCGGGTATGTATCGAGATTATTTCTGATCGTTGCGTCAGAGCGCGATGCCGCCGCAGATTCCCATTAGATTAATAATCCCGCTCTTGCGCATTAGAAATCAATCCCCGATTAATATTCCGCCGCGCTGATTCACAGCCGCATTTCGAGACGCATATTCGCGGAAATCGCGACTTTTTATATCGTATGTTTGTACATACGTATGCGATTCCGTTCGTCGAAGTCGTCTCTTTGTCATCTGTCGCTCGCGACGAAAATTTTAACGAGCTAAGAAAATGTATGTGTCTGATTCACGCGACATATACATTATTCACGAAATTTATTGCGCGTGAAAAACGAACGGGATATCCCTGACCGCAGCGACTTTCCTCCGACGAATGGAATGTTGAATGGAATTAATGGAGGAACCTCGTTTGCGAAAGAATATCGAGATTTTTGCATAAATAGGTACACGCAACTATTTTTATTGACATTGAGCCGTATAATTGTCTCGAGTTATTTGATGCACGAATGAACTGTCAAAAACAGCTGTTTTTGACAGTTCATTTATGTATCAAATAGAAATGATTAAAATAAATATGTATTTCAATACTGCCTAATGAATCATTTATTTTGAAACAAATAAACATTTTTCACATGAAATCAATATTATTAGTTTCAAATAAATGATTTTAATCATTTTAATACTGTCCGATAAATCATTTATTTGAAACTAATAATATTGATTTGATGTGAAAAATTTGTATTTGTTTCAAAATAAATGATTCATTAGGCAGTATTGAAATACATATGTACTTTAATCATTTTTATTTGATACACGAATGAACTCAAAAACAGCTGTTTTTGACGTATGTACGCTGAAAAAATTTTATTGAATTTGAATAAATATTTATTTCAATACTGCCTGATAAATTATTTATTTGAAACTAATAATATTGATTTGAGGTAAACAAATATTTATTTGATATAAGAAAATCCTCTTTTAAATAAATATTTGTTTCAAATAAATGATTCGTTAGACAGTATTGAAATAAATATTTATTAATTTAATAATTTTTTTTCAGTGAATTATATCTGTATAGTGTTTCGAAATTTTCTGAATTTCTAAGAATTTTATTGATCGAAAATGCAACTTATGGCCTAATATAATTTTTAAATACATATATTTGTTTTTAAAACTCTTATTTTCTTTGCTAAAAAAAACCAAATTTATAATAATATTTATAGTTTTTTGACATTTTAAAATATTAAAAATTCTATTAAAAAGTCAATGCAAAAATCATATTAAAATTAACGATAATTATATTTTTTGTATTCTATTTAAAATATCTCCACTTGCCATTTAATTTAAAGTATATTTCGTATCTGTATATACATATAACAAATTATCTACGTGTTTTACGTAGCTTCAAATTAACGTGAGATAAGTGCCGTAGATTGTAGTACATATAAATTTCACCCATCGGGTAGACAAAGCATATGTGGACTAATTTTATAGTCTCTGAGCAAGCTCGATTACATATCGCATATTTCGAGCAGTCACATCAAAGTACATTCCTCAGTGCGTCAACATGACACAATGGTTATTTATAACATTTCTCAACTTATTGAAAAATATTACCTACTTGTTAGACGTGCGTTCCCTTCCCTTCACATTTTTCTATCAATTATCTAATATAATCCAATATTAAAAGTGCGAATCAGAAACTATCAATTTTTTATCACTGAAAAAAAATTTATTAACTTGAAACTTTTCGACTAAATTACTGTATATATGTATATATGTATATATGTATATATGTATATATGTATATATGTATATATGTATATAATATATGTACATAAATATAAATATATGTATATATGTATATGTATATAAATATAAATATGTATATATGTATATGTATATAAATATATATATATATATACGTATATAAATATAAATATATGTATATATGTATATAATATACGTATATAAATATAAATATATGTATATAAAAATAAATAAAAATATTATATGTGTATATACATACATACAGAATAAATATACATTTATATTCCTATAATACGAGCTCTTTCTACCGCAATCTTAGAAAGATAGGATACACTGAACATGCGACACGTTTGTCTTATTGCATTTATAGAATTGCTGCTAGCCACACGATGCGATCCTTTCGCAATTTTACTCAAGTGTACACAAGGAAAAGACCGAAGGACGAGAGGCTCCACCTTTTCCACCTGCGTTTCCTGCGATAGACATTCAATGAGCTATCATTAAAGTCATTACAGCGCGATTACAGCTTGCCGGGTATATTTTTCGTTTCCCCCCTCCCTCCCTCCTCGCCTGCGCAACTCAAATTTGTTTTCTCAAGAAGACGTATACGCACATTGTAAAAATCATATTATTATAATCACTGGTAGTCCTCGTGTTAAAGTTATATTTAACTATAATTGCGACAAAGATCTACGTATTTTTTAATTTTTCCAATTTAATATAGCTGTCTTCCCCTCTTAATCATTTCCAAAGATTTATTTTATAGATTACTTTGTCACAAAAATTATTAAATAC